GACCAATTGCATACACTAGTGATTTATAAAAATTAAAAATATATATGAATTATCAATATCTTAAATAAAAATTTAAGGAGTCTTTTATTAAAAGAAATACTGATTCAACTTTTTCGAAAGATTGCGGGAGAAATTCAAATTTTTAAAAGGTTAACGTTCAAATTTAATTAAAAAATTAAAGACTGAATAGATAAAAGATATAAATTTTAAGTACTAAATTCATTATTAGACCTATCTGCTTTATAGGCGGCTTAAGGAATCCATATATATATATATATATATAGTCGCAGACGATTACAGGTAGTCCCCAGATCGCACAACTCCTTCCTCAAGAAACCTTGTGAATGCCCAAACACAAGGCTTTCGTTAAAATCAAACCCCTTCGAACTCCGATTAGAGATCGTGACAATGAGCGACGGAGAAGATGCCGTACGACGCCGTAATGCTATTGCGGAGTACCGGAAGAAACTCCTTCAACACAAAGAGTATGAATCTAGGGTTCGATCAGGTATCCTCCCACTTTTATCATAATTCCCACAATCTAACCCTAATTGGGGTCGCTTTTCTCTTTTCCTTGGGCCTCGTTTTATTTCCATTTGAATTATTATTATTTTTTGTTCGTCCGTTTACGATTTAGGATTTGGGGTTTTGCTTTCTCTCTCTGTTATATCAACACCTTGTTTGATTTACAAATATAGCTTCTTTGGAAATTCGGTTTTTTTATGGAGACAGCTTGAGTAGGTAAAATTTGGCGAAATACTTTATGCTTTGGTTGGTGCTATAGATAACTGCTTGTTTTCAACTGAGATTATACTTTTCAGTGACTTTGACTTGGGCTGATGATTGTATTTTGTTTATGTTTGGATGAAATTGAAATTTTGGCTTTCTGAGAAAATTAAACAAAAGAAAAGAATGCTTGTAGTCTTTGGTTACGTGAAGGTGTATTAGTTGTTTGAAGACCAGTTCTTTATCTTATTAATATGGCGCACGCTTAACATGATTTTGACTTGTTTTTCTGTTGAATGTTTAGCTAGGGAGAATCTGAGAGGTGCTAAGAAGGAGTTCAACAAAACAGAAGATGATTTGAAATCTCTTCAGAGTGTTGGACAGATAATTGGAGAAGTTCTCAGGCCTCTTGATAATGAACGCTGTAAGTGCTTCTTACCCTGCCTTGCCTCTTTTTTTTTTTCATCTTTTAACGTTGGTGTTGGTAGTCGGTACATTAGTCCGAGTGGCTAAGGATCATCAATATTTGCATTGGACACATATAAAGTTTGTTTGGTTATTCTTATTTATAAAATTGCACAATTTGGCATCTGAGTAGTTGCATTTGAAATTTAGGTTGTTTGTTGGTTCATTTTTCACTAGACTTGATTGCTACTAGACAATTGGATGTTTATATGAAATTTCAGTGATTGTTAAAGCAAGCAGTGGCCCTCGCTATGTGGTTGGTTGCCGCAGCAAAGTTGATAAGGAGAAGCTAACTTCAGGAACTCGTGTAGTTCTTGATATGACAACACTTACAATAATGCGGGCCCTTCCTCGTGAGGTAAGTATTAGCACATCCTAATTGGTTCAGCTGTAAATAAATCTATAAAAGCAAGATCACCTTGCAGATATCTGAAACCATGGTGCATCATTGATTGACAGGTTGATCCAGTTGTTTACAATATGTTGCATGAAGACCCTGGTAATGTCAGCTACTCAGCTGTTGGTGGTTTATCTGATCAAATTCGAGAGCTAAGGGAATCTATCGAGCTCCCTCTCATGAATCCTGAGCTTTTCCTTAGAGTTGGAATTAAACCTCCCAAGGTGATTATTGCTTCCTGTCTCCATCTCTGTTGATTCCTGAATTTCAGTGGGTGTGCTTGTGTAGGGTGACAGGGGAAGCATGCTGTGACCGAGTGTTTTATGGTTGATGATCATCTGAAATTGCCTGTTTTATTTGCAGGGTGTCCTACTCTATGGACCTCCTGGTACGGGTAAGACATTGCTAGCCAGAGCAATAGCAAGTAATATGATGCTAATTTCTTGAAGGTCAGTATTTTTGTACCTACGACTTACCTTGTGGTTTTCTCATCCTGTCCCTAAATGATTGCATTTACCTATTTTTTCCAACTGAATCCAGGTTGTTTCAAGTGCAATAATTGACAAGTACATTGGAGAAAGTGCAAGGCTGATACGAGAAATGTTTGGATATGCCCGTGCTCACCAAGTGAGAGCCTGGAGTTATGAATGTTTCTTTATGCTTCTTTTTAAATGTTACTGTCATTCTTATGTTTGTTTCTTTTTGTTCAGCCTTGCATCATCTTTATGGATGAGATTGATGCCATCGGTGGGCGTCGTTTCAGTGAGGGAACAAGCGCTGACCGTGAAATACAGAGAACACTGATGGAGTTGCTTAATCAGCTTGACGGATTTGATTCACTTGGGAAGGTAAACAGTTTTGTCATAAACATAGTTCAATATTGTGATCTAAAGCATATATTCTACATGCCATAGTGTGGGTAAAGAGTGGCGTATTCTGGTAGCTTGTTTCTGTAAACTTCTAAGTGCCTTTAATTACTGTTTTATCTCTTTTATGTCCTCGGAAAACAGGCCTACCCGTTATTGTCATCAAGTGTTTGCCAGGTGGCATGGATTTTTTTTTTAATTTAATGCATATATGGACTGAAGCTCAAATTTCTCTTATTTTAACCTTCATTGCTGCTCAGTACTTGGGTTTGTTCTTTTGTTCCCAAAACCATTGTCAACTTAAAATTGTTTCATGTAGGTTAAAATGATCATGGCTACAAACCGACCTGATGTTCTAGATCCTGCCCTTCTGCGCCCTGGACGGCTAGACCGAAAGATCGAGATTCCATTGCCAAATGAGCAATCAAGAATGGAGATCCTCAAGATTCATGCTGCTGGCATTGCCAAGCATGGTGAAATTGACTATGAGGCAGTTGTTAAACTTGCTGAGGTTGGTCAACGGTGTGGCTTGTCTCTCTTTCATTGGTGTAATTCTCATCACTAATATAGTTTGTCTCCATTGCTTTAGGGCTTTAATGGCGCTGATCTGCGAAATGTTTGCACGGAGGCTGGAATGTCAGCAATCCGTGCTGAACGTGATTATGTCATCCATGAAGATTTCATGAAGGTATATTATATAACAATGAAATTTAAAGAATGCCATTTCATTTGGGTTTATGTGCAGAGCTTTATGGAAATGATAATTTCCCCATTTTCCAGTAGTGTGGCATTACAAAAATTTGGATAGCTGCTAAAGATGTGCGTGCTTCTATGTGGTTAAATTGCAGGCAGTAAGAAAATTGAACGAAGCCAAGAAACTGGAATCGACTGCACATTACAGTACTGATTTTGGGAAAGAGTAGAGCTTCTGTGCTTGTTGAAGCCATGGAGTACCTGGCAGTGCATATTTACATTTTCTTTGTCCACCTCAACTCGAGTTAAATGTTCGCCTTTTGTATCCAACATATTCTGAATTGTACTGTTTTAAATATCATTGCCCTTCGTATGACAAAAAGGTTGCGCATTATTACAGTACCTCGGGAGACGTGTGATGGAGGCTTTTGAATGTCGTAGTAATTGATTTACTTTACCCTGAAATTATGGTATCTTTTGACTTTATTTTGAAAATCAGACCGGCCTGTTCAACTGGAACCGTTGTTTAGTTTAATTTATTTTAAACTGGTTGAACTGTTATTAGTGAACCGGTCAGAACCGTTCGAACCGGACTGGCTGAAAATCGAGAAATATCGGGGAAAACTAAGATTTGTGTTTGTTTTTTTTTTTAAAAAAATTAAACTAAAAAACATCGTTTGTTAAACGAGCCAAGTCGAATTCGAGTATTGCTGAGCTCGACTCGAACTTGAAAACTTTAAAAGTAAGTTCAACTCAACTCAAACTCGTAAGCTAAAAATTATCAAGTTCAACTCAAATTCGAAATATAATATTGAAACTTGAACTCAAAAAGGCTTGAACTTAAAAAAAATTAGAAGCTCGATTGAAACCTAAAATTCGAGCTTGATTGAAGTGAAAGAATAGTTCACTCAATACTCACCAAAAGGCTTCAAAATTTTGAATGTCAAATTACCTCTATTATTTATAGAAGTTAGTTGTGATGCGCTTATATGTTTCTTAGCAATGTGAGATTGTTTTGTTATCATATTTTTACTCTTTAGACTTTTGGGATGCTCTTATATGTTTCTTAGCCATGTCGGATTGTTTTTTTAAAAAAAAAATTAAACCAAACAATATCATTTTGTTATGATTTTTTTAACCTCAAATTTATTTTTTAATTATAGTTATATAATTATATTTATTATTTAATATGTTTTACCTTAAATATTATGTTGTAGTTAATTTGAATCATTTTGTTTCACTTGATTTTATGGTTTTTAACTTATATATGTTATGACTTGCTTTGAATATGACTTGTGATATAATTTTTTTTTATTAAATATTTTTGGTATTTTTATTTAATTTTTTAAATAATTATGACGTCGTCCGGTTATTCCGACCGATCAAATCAGTTCAACCGATTAAACCAATAAACCGATAGCATGACCGGTTCATTAATCGGTCCGGTTTTGAAAACCATGTCTTTTGAGCATTCGTTTGGGTGGTTATATATTTTAAATTGAATTTTTCAACCACCACCAAGTGTCTATTTATATCATTATTATTGTCCCTAGTTGGCAGTTTTCTGAAGTGACAGGTTAATATCATCGTAACAAACATTTTCCGTTTGCCATCTGTCGGTGGTCTTTGGACCACTCTTGTTGAATCGATTAATTAAAACTATTAGCTATGCTTTCCTGAAGAACTGGAACTGTTGGAGTTTATTAACTCTTATTACATGTTATCTGGCTGAAAGAATAAAACAATGAGTGTATGAATCTATATGTTTTTCTCAAGTAAAAATCAGCTTCAATGCCAACCGTAATTCTTATTAATTACTCCATAAAATTGAAGTCAAATCTTGTACGATAAATCCTGCATATTTATGCAGAACGATTAAAACACCATGAAAAGTGCACGATAATGAATCCTAGTAAAGTATTAGTCCATTTTGCAGTTTGCAGGGAAGTAGTAGCAGGGCTCACTTTCTTCGTTGACTTAGTAAGCTTGTATTTCACCATCCTTACAATCTTGTAGAACCAGAAAGTACTCACTAACTGCAGTCCTACGGCCGTTGCCTGAGTAACAACACGTCAATACTAGTAGGCAGTTAGATATTAATCGATGATCGATTTATAGGAAGAAGAGGTTAATTAGTCACAAGTAATACCTTGATAAGTATAGGATTACTGGCTGCTGATAGAGTAAGAAAAAGGAGATAGGGTCCACCCACCATCCTTGCTACCGAAAATATTACGGCGAATATGATCTGTTCAAAACTCAAACTACCATTCATCTTCCACTTCACTAGGCTAAATAATTCAATGCTATTTAAAAACTTCAAAGATGATATAACCAAAAGTTAATGATTAATAAATTACCGGAATTAGGTTAGGTGCAAGTACTGAAACAAAGCAAAAAAAGAAAAAAAAAAACTTTAAAAACATTTAAGAGTTTGGAAACTAACATCTGCTGCTAGATTGAGGTGGGTGTCCTTGTAACCAAGTTCTTTAAGCAGCTCCCTGGCGTGGAGGAAAGGACTTGAGATCTCCGTTATGAATAATGCTGCAACTTGTTCTGCTCCACACTGCATAATATATAACCACTTGGTTTTACTGGATAAGCTAATCTAGTAGAAACCATGCATGGCCTAACCGACTCCGCTTAATCCTCTAATGGAGTAATGTTTAGAATCTTGGGATGGGACTTTGATTTTCGTCAAATGAACTTTGGAAATGAGAAGAGTTATTTCCTCTAAAATCGTTTACAAAATTGGGTTTTGATTTCTTCTTGGAAAAAAATTGTAGATGTAATTTGTAAACACCTGTAAAACTACGCGAAAGAAAATCGTCATAATAGTTCGTTTGAGACGAAGAAACAGAAAGTGAAAAGCAAAAAAGAATGAAGGATGAAGACCTTTCGAAAGGCAAGGCCAGCACCAAGACCGACGATGCCGACCAAGTGATGAACTGCGTTGTCAAAACTGTAGCGCTCGTCAAAGAGGCAGCATATCAGGTCATATATAAAATAAGCCACCGTAACACCCAAAGCTTGCCTCTGCTTAGGAGAAGAGGTGGAAGCCAAAGGACAAACGGGGCAGCTCCAATCTTCAACGGAGAGCGAGGCTAAAATTACAGCCAAAATAGCATGAATTGTAGAAACGATGCGGCTGCAGTACCCAAAGGAGCGTTTGGAGAAGATTTTTCTGATTGAAACAAAAAGTGTGCCCCATGAGACTACTCCCAACACAATCAAATTCACGTCTTCGTATTCCTCCCCCATGACTTTCTTCCAAACTCAAAGCTAACCCAACAAAGACTAAATAATGAGGCAAAAGAAACAACTTTTTGAATAAAAGTTAACCCCTTATCGCACACGGACACATTTCTAAAATTTTAAACTTTTAGAAGAAAAAAATAAATCTTTTATAAAAGAAATATAAATAAAATTATCTAAAATATATAAAAAAAAACTAAAAGTTTTAGAAACTACCACCACTTCGCCTAGGTCCACCCTACTCTTGATTATGTTATAAGTTTACAGGGAAAAGCAAACTGGAAGTCTGGAACATTTTACGGCAAACAATAACTCCCCCCTTCATCTAATGCCATGAATGGCGTGTGCGTATATACTTTTTTCTTTTTTTGAGTAAAGCGTGTGCATATATATGGGTAGTTTGTTAGTCAAAATTAAGATTAAAAATGATAGAAAATGGATGTAATTAAAAATATTATAAAAATACAATATATTTTATTGCAAATAATTTATAATATTATTTTTTTAACTTTTTTTTTATATTTTCGGTTGATTCAAATATATTATGAAGAAGATAACATTTTTTGTTATCAACCGAAAATTTAATATTTTAGGTTGCATCTAATAAAAATGTTTGAGTCTGTTTAATTCTATAAAATATAAGATATTTTTATTTTCATTTTCTTATAAAATAAAAACGTTGAAGAAAATATGTTTGAATGTAAAATTAGAAAATGATTTATGGAGAATGAAAATAGAAATAAGTGAAAATATAAAAACATAAAAAATACATTTTTAATATTTTCATTAAAATTATTTTTAAAATTTAAATAGGAAATACAAGATTTAGATTTTTAACTTAACTTACATAGATTCAAATCCTTCTAAAAATATTTTTTTTGACTTAATGGTATCGAAAACCCTCAATTTTTTACAAATAAATAAAAAAATAAATGTGGTCCCTAATTTTTTTATACTCAATATGGTCCTTAAATTAAATTATTTAATAATTTAATTTTGTAGTATTTTTATATTTAATGTATTGAATATCTTGATAATTATTTATATTTTAAATTTTAAAAATTTTTATTTTTAAAAAATTAAGTAGTTCCTCAAACTTTCTAAAAAATCAATTAGACCCTTGTACTTAGTCAAAAAATCAATTGAGTCAATCTATTACATTATCGTCCAACGTATATTATCACAACAACATCATGAACTGTCACATCAATATTATATGTTATCATATAAGTTTTGTGAATTGTTATGTAAGCGTCCTGATGATCAACATTTGATTCTATTAATCAAAAGATTAGATTGATTTTTCTCAAATTAAGGTCACATTTAGTGAAAGAAAAAAATAAAAAAATCATAGACTACATTAATTTTTCTTCAAAAGTTTTAGAACCTTAAATACTATTAAATATATATATATATATTATTTCAATGACACTTTCGTGTGTCTTGCTGATAATAATATTTTATTATTTTTATTTCTAAATTCAACTTTTCATTTATATAAACTAAACATGTTTTTTTAATTTTTAAAAAAATAAAAATAAAAATATTTTCTGAAAACAAAATAAAAAATAATTTCTTAAATTGCGTCTATCGTCTACTGTTTCTTAAATTGGGATGTTATACTCTGCAGTATATACGCTAACGCAGTTGTGGAATAAAAGAGTTGCTGGATCATGCATTAGGCCAGGCATAATGGCAAGCAGGTCCACAGTTAATGAGTTTATACGTGTTCAAAAAGTCACGTTAATCACTTATTCATTAACGGTCTTAATTTCTTAACAAAATTATAATGCGATATATTAATATTTCAATTAAAATGTTAATTGTATGCTTTTATAAAATTAAACATATACCACAATATACTTTAATTTTAGGTTACTTTTGAAATTGATTATTGCCTCTCGTATAAAAAAAAATCATTATCTGTTGTTTGTTAGAAAATACTTAAATCCATGAATTTATTTTTCCTTTTTACGAGATCCAATTCCTCGCATTAAGGCATGCTTTAATTATTTGTACCAGTTTTATTAATGATTTTGTTGTAATATTACAAACTATTTTTATCCCTTATTTATTATGCATTTTTGTACTTTAAGTTTCACTCTGTAACATTTATGGTGCTTTAAATCTGGGTGTAATGGTGAGTTAACCTGGATGGACCAATCGACGGGTGAGGTAGTCGTCTCCCAGAAAATTTAAAATTGATAAGAGGATATATGAAGCGCTCGTATTTAAAATAAATTATTGTGACCTTCTATTTTTTATATCTAATGTGACTCTTTGACTAATGATTTTCGTTATTAATTGTTACAGTACTGACGTTGCACTTCATATTGCTAACGTGACAATCCACAATGACCGGTGACGTGAGTGATGTTGTGATAAATTAGCTAAACTGGTTTTTTAAAAAATTAAAGGACTTATTTGACTTTTTTTCAGAAAAATATTTTAAATTTTAAAATTTTAAATTATACTGTAAACATTAAATGTTAAAATGTTCGAAGAAAAATTAAATTATTAAAAAAAATAAAATAATTTATTAATCAGAATGATTGAAAATGTTACTGTTAAATGATTCATTCAATTTAGAGACAAATTTTAATGGCAATTTTAATTTTATTTAACATTATAATTATAAATGTTCACACTTATCAATTTTAATGTAAATTTTATTTTATTTTATAGAGAAAAATGTTCTATTAAATAAATAAATTAATATCAGGGATAATAAAAAAATATTAAAAACACGATTTCATATTTAATGAATTTTATTTTCTTCTATTATATTATATTCACTAAAACACTCTTTTTTAATTGTAGAATTATTTTTAAATATTTTCTTAATTATATACTTTATGATAATATATATAAATATTAATTTTATAATTTTATTTTTATAAGAGTTTATAATATTTATTCAGTTAAATTTTATTGAAATATAGTGATTTCGAATTAGAAAGACATTTAGAGTTTAAGATGATTAGAAGTAAATGTATAAAATAAAATTTGTAGGTGATGGAAAAAAATAATGTTTATATAAAAAAAATCAGGTTAAATTCGAGGTAAAATATAATAATATATTTTTTATTTTTAGTAATTTTTTTATATTTTTATTTTAAATTAGAAATATTTTTTATTTAAAAAAACAAAAAAAATCCATAAATTTTTATAGAGAAAAAATTAATTTGACCCACAAACTCAGCCAAAAAACCAATTTAATCCACCTCAAATACTATGGAAATCATTATTTCCCTTCTTTGAAACGACAACCAACCACCACAAATAAACTAACTAAGAAGAGTAAGAAACACTTTGATTTGGTAGGGCACATATCCTAAGGCCAGGAATATGACAGATTGCTTCGCCAGATTAAGAACGTCCTCTTTGAATATTAAACTTTAACTACAAAAAAAGGACAGCATTTTCAGTTGTACAATTTTTCTCAGCCAAAACCCACTCCCTCTTCAACTTAACTTCAAAGATTCAAGTCAGTTTCAATTCAAGGATAAGAAATCTGCAACTTTGCAGAAGATGGCAGCAGCATGATCATCAATACACGACTTTCAGATACAAATTATAAGTGCAACATTAGTTAATGATTTAACTATTAAGCTTTACCTTCATTTTATCTTATACTTATTGTCTCCGTTGGATCCGCTTGTAACTGTTAACGTGTTATGCCACAAATAACTTTGTTTTGTTCTCAACTCTTGTTTGTGTGACAGTAAAAAATTGATTAAATTATTAATTCACAAGGCAACTTCAATAGGCGAGTAACGAATTTATAATGCACATGTGAAGAAAGAACTGAACTAGCAGTACAGGTACAGCTTCTTTGTGTGAGTAACAAATCCGAATTAGAGTGGATTATTGACCAAACAATGCTGAAATCAGTTGCAGCGAAATGAACCATTGGGTTCTGAAAATTGAGAAACTGATAGCGCTCTTAGGAAGACATTAAGTCCTCTACTCTCCGTAAATTCCAGCCCCAGCGCAACACAGAACGACAAGTGCACAATACATTGTGTATTTAATGGTCGAAACTGTCATAAAATACAGCAAAGAATAGCTGAAAGGCCAAGTACAGTAAACTTCTTAGTGCTTACTTTTACTAATCAATTCAATTCTTCATCGAGTTTATCTGTCGTGCGCCGAAGCCAGAAAGTCTAAATTTATCATATCAGAGTCATCCATAATGGCATGTAAAATCTACAAAGAACAACATTACTTGCTCTCTAGAAATCAAGAAACTAACTTCATTTTTAGATTACTTTGAACTCCCAAAACCCACCATTGGGTATCTAAATTCCAAAACTATGGGCAAACGAAAAATGTATAGGGCTAGAGTTATAAAGTGGGTTAGTGGAAATTTAATGCCACTCCTGTTGATGGTATTAGCTTGGAAAGGAAACCTCTAACTTAAGAAGGTGAGACTAGGCTGCATTGTGGAAGCCTGACTCACAAACCCTTAACATAAGAATATTCACTGTCTGATAAACTTCTACGATGAAACGGGCAGGCTCCTCACCTCTTGCCAGAAAAAGAGGAAACTCAATCTTTTCGATATTTTATCCAAAACCCCTTCTTCCTAGCAGAATCGTTCTCAGATAGTGATCTACCCCACCTAGACCCAATCGAGAAGTGGCGTTTCAAGAAAGGCTTTGCCAAGGAGCTTCTCCGGCTTGAACTGGGTTCCAACTTTGTATCTTTTCCTTCTCGTTTGTTGTTTTCTACGTGTTCAATATCATCACAACAATCATCAACAGAACTATCTATGACTCTATTCTTGAACAACTTAAGATGTTTTGCCTTCAACTCTGCTTCAGCTTTTAAAGTTTTTTTGCATATCTTTGAGACCTGTTTTTCTCCAACCATACATATTGGGCAGGCTGGGTCATATCTGTCAGCCTCTAGCGTCATTGTCTCCAAGCATTCAGCATGATAAACATGTCCACAGACAAGCACAGAAACCACTGAAATCTCATTGCTATTCCATGCAGATCTCTCAGCTAAAAGCTTCGAGCAAGCACCACAAGTTCGCATATCTATGGA